TCCATCGCACTCAACACCGACACTCCCACACTCCGGCACCCACCCCCACCCCCACCCCCACCCCCACCCCCACCCCCACCCCCACCCCCACCCATGCACGACTTCCTAACAAAAGAACCACTCTTGAACGCCGACGGGTTGTCCAGCAAATATTGCATGTGTGTCTATGTGTTGTTTCATATGTTTGTGTAGTTGCATGACCTAACATGGGGACCTTGTCAGCATTCTTATTGTAAAGTTTCCGCTGGAAACGGCCGTAATGGTCCAGTGGGACACACACACACAAAAGACAAAAAACGGTTGGCGCCCTAGAATAGTGAACTGTGGAGTGCTTGAAGAAGCCATCTACAGAATCAAACACGTGCGGTTGGATCATAAGCAATCGGGGATGCCAGACCCAACTGAATGGACTGCTACCACCTCTTCTTTAAGTCTTTGGGTCGCCCTATTTTGAAAGCCAGTGAGCACCCCTTCAAGATGATTTGCACCACTGCCTACAGGGAAAATGGGGGCTCTGCCGACGAGGAGAAGGTGCCCTCCTGCAGATTGGCTCAAGCTGCAGATGGTCTAGATGTGAGCAGTTGCAGTTATTTTGCCCTAGCCCGAGAGAAACCCATGACCGGGCTATCCGTGTGTTTCAGCTGCCTGTTGCTGCTTGCAGCTGCAGAGGAGTGCGTGGAGGAAACGCCCCAGTTCCTCCAGCGAGGCTTGGAGCTGGGCCGCCTCTCAGCAGCAGGGCTGCCCGAAGTTTCGCTCACCGCTGAGCAGGCGCGTGCCAAGGACCAGCTCTCAGAGTTCTTCCTCTTCGTCAAGTTCCACAAGGTTGGCAGCTCAACAATGCGCCATGTTATACTTTCCGTTACCCAAAGCGATATCATGTGCACCCAGCAGTGTGGCAACCCCTATTGGCCTTGCATGCAGAAAGCCATTGATGGTGCTGAATGCTTGGCAAAGTTCTTCAGCGGTGGCAACCCCGGCTGCAGCTTGGTTCCGTCTGGCTGCACTTCACATGCTGGCCTTGGGGTGATTGAAGATGCCTACAAATCGCAGATCTCGGTGGCCAACAGCTCCGACTTGACAAGCCTGAAGAACCTGTGGCCCGACTCCAAGCGCTATGCTTTGCTTTCTACCTCGGCCAAGGCAAGTTATTTCCTTCCAAGTACGTGGGGCCCTCAGAAGAGGATTGTGATCACCACGATCTTGCGCGAACCGGCGGAGAAGCTGAGGTCTTACTTCTATTACGTGAACCCTGAGCCTACCCACCAGAGATTTGCGCAATTCTTGGGATTCCAGAGGGACTATGTGGCTGGAAACTGGACTTTTGAGGAGTTTGAGCTTCAAAAGAGCTGGCCGCGAGGAGCGTCCACACTCAGCATCGTCCACCGATCCTGCTGTGAGTTCCACCAATGGCTGGGTCAAGGTGACGTGGCAAAGTCCCAGCGCGTGCTTGCTACTCAGTTTGACCTGGTGGGGCTGAATGAGCGGATGGATGAGACGGTGGTTTGCTTGGGCCGGCTTTACGGCAAGACACCAGAAGAGATGGGTCTAATTCGGAGGACAGCCGTGGACGACAAGGTGAATGATGTCAAGCTGGATTGGCTGCCACGTGAGAGGGAGATGGCAGCCTACATCACTGCCAAGGACAAGGAGGTCTACAACTTCGGAGCCAAACTGTTTGATCTTCAGTCCATCTCATTGTGGAACAACGCTGAGACACTCAAGAAGGTGACAGCCGCTATGAGAGCGGTTCAAGATGCGTAAGCCGATGCATAAGCCGTAGGCGCTTGGCATCGGAGAAAAACGTTTGACACCGTCCTTTGCAAGTGAGACTACGGCTTACCAAAGATAATTGGACCCCAAAAGAAAGCAGCCAGAAATCCAAGAACACGGGGGGTGGGCATTGACAACCATGGGAAGGAGAGATCCCCCCCCAAAGCCCGCAGCCCGCCGCTCGCAGGCCATCACGGGTATGAAGCTGAGGCAGCTCTTCAAGGTCAGCCATTGCCAGTCGTTCGGTGTGTCTGGAGGTCCCCCAACTAGGTTCCCTTTCTCACTCCCTTTTTTGGTTGGGAGGTGCAGAAAGGAGGGTACCCTTATTCTAACCTCTCTGCTGGAGGACCTTGCTAAGCCCTAGACCCTAAACCCTAAACCAACCTTTTGTTTTTGACCTGCCGTGATTGGATTGCAATCAATCCCGCATGGCTCGGAAGCTGAAAGTTTGAAGCCAGGGGTTTTGCTGCCACGCAAATGAGGTGGGCATTGCAATTTAATTCTTCAGATGTCAGCGCTTTCTTTGTCTTGTTCGTTTGACGGGCTACCCTCGAAAACACTTGTCTCATTTGACTGACTTGAAAGCGGCGATTTGCAGCGTTTCGTGGTTTTGGGGGTAGCTTTTCTGATTCCCAGAGTCTTGAGGGCAGAGGTTTTCCGACCATGCCTGAGAACAAGGCTTCTTCGGCTGTCCATTGCGGCAAGCCAAACCATCCTTTGCTTACGAAAGGTCCCCTTAAACTTAGGGTGTGCAGAAAGGAACGATCAACCTGATTGGAATTCCAAGGAAGTCCTATGTTGAACAGCCCAGTTACCTCTTTCCTTGGGCCGGGGCTTGGGGTAGTGGAAGAAGCCCTCTTAGATGGGGTCCTTCGGTTTATCAAATTACCTCCCTTTGGTTGGTTTTCTTGTCGTTCCCCTTCAAATACTCTCTTGCCCCAAGCGAATCGACCCGAACTGAGTCTTGGTTTCCCCCGTTTGGTTTTCATTTTTAGTGGCAACCCAAAAGGTGATCGCCGTTGCATTTCTGGGTTCAAAGTGGTTGCCACTGAGAATACGAAGCAAAAGGGGACCGGGAGCCGTCCAACAATTCGTCCGGGAAATGTTCGACAGGCCTTCGACACCCGGCACTGCGGCCTGGTGTACGGCGTGGACATGGTCAGTGCCCGGCCGAGATGGGAGAAATGCGTGTCGGGTGAGGATTCCACCACGGAAACAAGGCTCATTGAACAAGTTGGACTGGCGTCACTGTTGGGGATTTGGCCCCTGAGCGTGGTAAAAATATAAGAAGTTTGGACTCTTTGTTTTGCCAATCCACTCAGGAAGTGAGAAGGATTTCAATCTGGACAACATGGAACCAAGTTGGTTGATATCGGACACAGCCACGGTACCTTGTTCTCCCCCCCCAAAGAGGGGTTCCACATCACAAGTGAGAGGAGCCAATAACAACTGGGTCCCACTAGGGTTTGCTTTTTTGGCCCACTTGGGGAAACGAAGGGGCCCTTAGAGGGGTTCTACTGTGGCTGTTGAAAAGGCTCCGTTAAGATCTGTAAAGCAAACCCCGCGACAGTTCAACGGATCAAATCCAAAGAGCTTTCAACTGTGAGCTGCTCCCAATCGCCTGTCGACATTCGGACCTTGCAAAGGGGGCAGCAAAAGACTCCTTCAGATATGTTGGGACAATTGTGTAATTGGCGCCCTCTTTCCCTTCAGTTGGAGTACCCACCAAAAATGCTCACCTCAAAGTCCTCAAATGGGCCTTTGTTGTTCTACCAGGTCCACTGGGCGTTTGGGAGCAGGGAATTTGGGGTGGTTGCCATCCACTCCAGTAAGTTGCCATCGGACCCAAGAAAGGCCAAAGCATGGGCTTGGTTTCCTCTCAGAGTCTGCTCTTCAGTTAGGCATGTTAGGCGTTTTGGGAAATGGCCATGGGTCAAAATCCCGTACCCCCGGCGAACATCCCAATCCCTACTGAAATAGGTTCTAAAACGGGTGGTGCACCTACCCCAAAATGTTACCATTGGTTTTGACCCACAGCCAGATTACTTGGGTGCGGCTCAAACTGAAACAGCTGGGGTGATTCGGGGTTTAACTTCCAGAAGGCGCCATTGGTGGTACCATGTTTTGAGCCAGAGCCACGTCGGTAAGCACAAAGCTTCGGCCGCTCTACTTGCGAAGTTTCGGCCCGCGCTTCACGCTTCGACGCTTAGCCTGAGGCGCCTTTGCTGATGCTCCAGCCTCAGGGAAACCTGGAACGAGATCACTATGCAGTCGTGATCAGGTTGGTCCGGTTCAATTGTACATCCTGACGATCTGTCACTTGCTCCCATGTCGGTCACTTGCAAGGAGGCTGATTTGGCCCATGTCTGTTTTTACCCCAAACGAAACCAAAAGGCGGGATTGGGGGATGTTCGTTGCTTGGAATTTTCAGGGGTTCTGCTTAAAAGCACCCAATCAACCAGACCAACCAGACCTGATACATTCATTCTGTCCGCCTTTGTTTTGAGGCATCGCGAGTCATTTTCGGCGGGCTTCACATGGTTGTTGTTGGGATCATTATGCATTTTTGCTTATTGTGGTTCATTGGTTGAAATCCAAAACCACTTAACTGCTAAAATTGTTTTGAATGGAAGGGGGTCAACTTTTGTTTTAAAAACAGGCTTAACTTAACTGCTAAAACAGATTTGTTTGCTCCCCTTCCAACGCCAACAAAGTTCAGGGAGAAACCGATCCGGATTTTCCGAGATCTGGCGCCAGCACGGAGATCCGGAGGAGGCCCGGACCCCAATGAAAGCATCCAGCACCCCAGCGGCGTGTGTGTGTGTGTGTGTGTCTTCCATTTGCTTAAGAATATTGTTTTTGCCTTTTTTGTTTTTAAAGGGAATCTAGCACTACTGGAAATATGTTCTATTTTTTCCCAGGGGGCTTAAGCAAATGGCAGGTGTGTGTTTGTGTGTCTTTTTGTTGAGGCAGCCTTTTTGGAGGGATTTTAAATGGAAACCACAAGGAAAGCCGAAATAGATCCATTTTGGAGGTGCCCTAAAGCAGAGACTTCCGGTTTGCGCGTGTCACGGAAACTCCCAGACCGGTCGAGAAGGATACAAAGCAAAAGGCTTCGAACATCCGACATCCGCGTCGCTTTGGTACTTTCTTGGGGCGGACATGTTACTGACCGGTCAGCCAAAAGTTCAGGCAGGCCGGTTCTTTTTTGGGGGGGAATCCGCTCAGAC